GTTACAGACATTCAGTGCAGTTTATCAGATTGATTCACTCAATGGTTGGAAATCAGAGGGAGCTTTCCAGTGTGAAAATCAGAACTGATGTGTAATTGCTGATAGAATATGAAGTATTCTATCAGATGGATGAACTTGCATGACAGGATGCCACACAAAAGTATAATGAAAATTTCCACTACATAGGCGTATGTATGTGTAACTATAACCTAGGAATATCCAGTGAATATCCTATCAAAATAGATTGTGAATACCTTCCCACAGTGTTAATGCCAGGACTAAAACTGAAACTGAGCTGTCGTGGTGCCCCCCTTGCCCCCATTTTTTTTTAAAGCTGATGTAAATCGGTCCTTTTTCTTGATAATTTCTGAGTTACTATGCGTTCATAAATCAACACATGCTTACCACATACTAGTAAAGATTCAATTTTAATATACTAGGAAAGTAAATACATTGAAAGTGAGCAATGAGTAAAACCATTGTAAATACCTACCATGAAAAATTCATCAATAGTTAAAAAGAGACTGCTGAACTTTAAATAATTAAGAGTGAGTGTTCCAACTCCAAATTCTACCTCTTTATGAGGAAAACGATGATTAGATTGAGATTCTGTCAGATTAAGTAAATTGTGCTTTTTTCTTTTTAATTCTTTCTATTTCTTTCTCATTACTAGTGATGCTAACGATGAGCCAGGTTTTTGAGTCTAGCTAAAACAAAAGGAATTATGCTTAAGTGTAGGAATTTCAGTTATTTTATCTGATACCTTACTGAACTCATTAGAGACACTACACAGATTTAATGACATGTGATGTGTACACGAAAGGACCTGAGAAAAATATTTTTCTTCTTACTGTTAAATAACTACAAAACTCAGGATCTACTCAAAACTTAAAAGCAAACTACTATCACATTTAGTAGTCACTGTTCCTAAAATAAAAAATTGTAACTACCTCACTGGATATATATTAAATACAAGTACTACATTCCCTCTGCTTTCAGAACTTTTTCCAATGAAACTGCTCTGATGCTTTCACATCCATACAAAGCCAGGGCAAAGTTAGGTTTTTACGGATGCTTATCTATAAATTTTATCTAAGTACGCAATTGGGGGATGTCAGTGAAGCATTTGTTACACAGATTTGTAGCACTTCAGCACTTACTTCTCATTTCTGGTTCAAAACTCAGTGAACTGGGTTTGTGCACTCGGTACTGTTTCAACAGCTTTTTGTCCCAAGCTCCGCAATTCAAAGGATTTCCCAAGCGTAAAAATTCCCTAAGAGAGAGAATAAAAAATTTACAAATAATTTTCTCTATTTATTTGCCTAGAATGGCACCAAATCTAATATCATTTTTAAAAAAAAAGACAGTAATTACTTGTAATAAACTGACTTTGAACTAAAATAAACTAATACATAATTACAAGAAACACATTTGATCCATTCAAAACTACTGAAGTTTTGAACAGATGCTCTCAAAAGTTAACATCATTTTAACTAATCAAATAATTTTGATAAAGCTCCCAATTCCCTTCTCTTAATTCCAAAGACTTGGGAGGAGGCTGCCGCATCCTGTAGGAGAACATCAGGACGGTCACTGATGCACATTCAGTAAGCTGAACTCATCTGGAAAGGCAGACCGCAGGTTTCACTATGTAAGTGACTTCAGCTTTGTTTTATCCATCTGTGCCCTGTTTGGCTGGGGGATCGTTTCACAGCTATCAAGATCTGTATCTATAGATAAATATAGTATCTATATCTAAAGCGACCGAGGTTATCAGTATCTATGCTTAGGGAAGCTGAAGTCCCCGCAATGCGACTACCAGCAAGGGTGCTCCTTGCAGAATCATTTCTGTCACGGCCACATGCCACTGAAGTGAAGTGAGCAGCTGTCCTGGCTGCAGGTCAGCCAGTCAGCGATCCATAGGAGAGAATACAATTAAGCTCTGTATTCCAGTTGAGACCACAGAATCACAGGATGGTTTGGTTGGGAGGGACCTTTAAAGATCATCTAGTTGTCTTTCACTATGTCGGGTTGCTCAAAGCCCCGTCCAACCTGACCTTCAAACACTTCCAATGACAGGGCATCCACAGCATCTCCAGGCAACCCCTTCCAGTATCCCACCATTCTCATTGTAAAAAATGTCTTCCTTATGTCCAATCTAAATCCACCTTCTTTCAGTTTAAAACCCTTGCCCCAGTCCTGTCACTACAGACCCTGCTAAAAAGTCTCTCTCAGTCGTTCCTATAGGCCCCCCCTTTATACTGAAAGGCCACAAGAAGGTCTCCTCAGAATCTAAGCAAGCAATCCAAACCATCACACAACTGTGTGGGTATTTAACAAATAGTTCAAAATATGCTCCAACTTTTCAAGCTTGCTTTTCTAGTACTAGTATAGATATGCAAATCTACTCGCACTAATATGCAAAATTATCAACTTTTTAAAGCTATGCATTCCCAGATTTTTCCAGACACTTCTTGTATTGCACTCCTGCATTTCCTTCACAGAAACTAAAGTGCTAAATAAAACTGCTGGCCTGTTTTCCAATCTGAGGTATTCAACATCATACAGAAAAGTCAGGGAGTCCATCCTCATGTTTCCTCTTTCTGAGGACCTAGCCAGGAATGGCATATTTGATAGCCTCTCAAGATTTGCAGGAAGAAAGCAAGCATTTAACTTCAGTACAATCTCTCTGAAAAACCACCAAACAGGTTTTCCCACACCACGCTTCTCCCTCTTCCGCTGCTCTCCAGTTCCCAACACCTCCAGGGCTGGTTAACAGAATACTGATTAACAGAGACAAGCCAGTCTCTTTGATGAGAAATAAAACAGGATCCTGTGAGATCACTACCACACAAGGTCACTTATGCTCTCTACCAGTTCGAGTCATTTACAGCCAGTCAGTGACAGAGCCGGCTGCAAGGTTCAGCTCAACTAGATTTCAACGCTATCTTTCTGACCTCAACACCATCGGCTGCAGCGCCTGGGAGGCCAGCCTTTCAAACATCCTTTGCAGTGGTGGATGTAGCGAGTGGTCCTCATCAGCCAGAGCAGCGCTGCATCTTTGCAGAAGTCGTGCATGGAGCCCGGCTTCACACATGACTTGCTGGTTTCTCTCTGTGTGCACTAGAGATTGCAGGATATTGGCCACCGCCAGCTGGAGATCCAGAGCATGCTGGAAAAAAGAAAAGCACACAACTTGAGAAAATGCAAACTGAGAACGCAAATAAAAGAATGTCCTTATGCATAATAATGAAAAGGAAATTACTATTAGCAATAAATACACAAAACGTCCTACACTTAAATATGTGTGTGCATTAGGGGGGTGTGAGTGCCTATGTATGAAGAAACACTTCCATCTCTTTATGAAAAAGGATAATAAGTTACGGGAAGGATTACCACGACAATTGTAAAGAAAAACAATTCAGGTAGAGACAGTTAAACTAACCTCTCCTTTTCACCAGCAGAAGTGAGTCAGTTTAGAAGTTCTATGTGCTTAAAGTATACCAAGAACTTTTATTTTTATGACTGCTAGGTTATTCCTAATAACTTAATATAGAATCATTTAGGTTGGAAAAGACCTTTAAGAACATCGAGTCCAACCGTTAACCTAGCACTGCCAAGCCCACCACAAAACCATGTCCCTAAGCACCACACCTACATGTCTTTTAAATACCTCCAGGGGTGGGGACTCCACCACTTCCCTGGGCAGCCTGGTCCAGTGCTGGATAACCCTTTTAGTGAAAAAATTCTTCCTAA